CAACTTGTTCTTCCTAAGGCCACCTTCTCCTCTGAGTCTGATTCTCCTAAAAGAAATCCTGGGGTTTCACCTGGTCCACCAAGTCATCCTGGAGAGAACCCCATCTTGGTATCAGTTTTCAATCACATCTTCAAAGTCTGCTTTGTCATGTAAGATGGGCATTCTGAGATCCTAGAGATTGGAATTTTATACTGATTACTTTTTCCATCACTGTGGCAAAATATCTAACTAAAGCAACTTATAGGGAGGAGGGGTGATTTCAGCCCCTGGCATTGCAGTAGAGAAGCATGGCTAGAGGAGCCTGAGGTGGCTGATCACACTGTGTCCAAAGTCAGGAAGCAGAGAGAAATGAATACTGATGCTTGGCTGGCTGCCTCCATTCCCCTTTTCATTCTGTTTTGAACCCTAGTCCATGGTATGATGCCACCCACACCCAGGGTGGATTTTTTCTTTTATTTATTCTTTAGCAATTTAATACAAGTGTATAGTGTAACTTGATTGAATCTACCCTCAACTTTCCCTTTGGATCCCTCAGGGAGAATCTATGCACATATACACACACACAAGAAATGTGTCTCCTTGGTGGTTTCAAATCCAGACCAGCTGACAACAGAAATAAACCATCATAGATATGAACATATTTGTGGGATCGTCACCAAACTACCAGAACTACCAAACAACAGCAAGATACACATGTAAAGCAGCTAACATGCTGCCTGGCTGTTGGTTTGACATTCTTATCTGCTCCTCGAGCTTCCAGGACATTTATGCCCAGAGGGATGATTGCTGTGGCATGCTCTGACTTCAGCCAAGATTCATTTGAACCTAGCTCTACATATCTCCTCGCTTGAACTTGTTCTTGACTCTGTGATGAGTCACCTCCGGTCTTCATGGGCCATTCATTATTCTTGTTCGGAAATGTTGGCAAGAAAAAGAAGCCTTCTCAGGGTAGATAGAATCATTACACACCAATCAACAAAGCATTCAAGAGCAAGAAAGTCAGTCAGAGATGGAGCACACTCTTATAATCCCGACCCCCACACACACACACCCATGGCTCCCTCACCTCTGTGTCTCTCTGTTCACTCTCTTGAAGATCACTTCTTGGCAAGGCTTTAGTTTACATAACCTGCTTTTCAACATGACTAGCTGCCCTTTGAACCAATTCATGCCTCATATTTCATGATTGTGGGGGCTGGAGAAATGGCTCAGCGGTTAAGAACACTGACTGCTCTTCCAGAGGACCCGGGTTCAGTTCCCAGCACCCACATGGCAGCTCACAACTGTCTGAAAATCCAGTTCCAGAGGACTTGACACCTTCAGACCAATGCACATAAAATAAAAGATAAATAAATCATAAAAAAATTCAAGATTGTCCCTTGTCCAACCCCATCCCAACAAGCTAGCCTCTCTACATATTTGTTAAAATTTATCAGTAGAGAAAATAGATTCACTCAATACATTATAGATCCTCCAGGGCTAGGTGTCCAATCTGCTTCAATCAGGTGTGTTTTGGTTTTGAGGACTGAGCTCTCACAGCATAGAGCTGGGCTTTTTGGTCCACACCTGGAGAAAAGAGAAATATCCAAAAAGGCAATGTGGTGTGGGCAGTCATTCAATGTATATCTCCAGTTACCTATCTCAAAAAGAACCCAGAACTCTACTAATATTCAAAAGTAATAATCAGTACTTATAATACTCAACAATCATTAATAGCAAACCACCTGCTCATTAAAAATGAGAGAACTCCACGACTAGATAATCATGAATTCCCACTTTCAGCTGTTTTAGGAAGTGCAGTTATCACATTCACCTCACTCATTGCCATTGCCTTGTACAACAGCTGGAAGCCTCGTAGGGTTAAAGACACTAGACCTGTTTAGAATCTAACGTTACCAGATGCTGTGCCACTAGGGGCAGAAAATGTCCATTTCTCTGAGTGTGTTGTGAGGCAACAGCTTCAGAACACCCAGAGTCTTAAAAACAATAGAAAGTCTTTATCTCCTGGCCAGTGGGCTACACAGGAAACTTACCCAAATCATGCAGTCACAAGCCTTACCTGTTCTTGGCTTTTATGCACAAAAACCATATTCTTGTTGACACACTCAATTAGCAAGAACAGTTAGCAATAAGCAGTGCTACAGAAGTCAAAAGGCATAGTTAGTACATTTAGGGACTGCCTTGGCTAGGATTTCTATTGCTGCGACGAAACACCATGACCAAAACGCAAGTTGGGGAGAAAGGGGTTTGTTTGACTTACAGCATCACTGTTCATCACTAAAGGAAGTCAGGACAGGAACTCAAACAGGGCAGGATCCTGGAGACAGGAGCTGATGGAGAGGCCATGAAGGGGAGCTGCTTCCTGGCTTGCTTCCCATACTTGCTCGACCTGTTTTCTTATAGTACCAGGCCAAGGATAGCAGTGCCCACCATGTGCTAAGCCTTCACCCCACTGATCACTAATTGATAAAATGCCATAGAGCTGGATCTCATGGAGGCATTTCCTCAACTGAGGCTTCTTCCTCTCTGATAAATGTATCTGTGTCAAGTTAACACACAAAATCAGTCAGTACAGGGTCTATGGACTATGATGGATTTGTCTTTGGTCTTGTTTTGTCAGGTGCTGGGGGTCTACATGCTGGGCATTTAGGTCAGAATGGAACCTTGGTACCTCTAGCATGGAATCAGTTGGCTAGGGTCTGGGGGGTCTTTTATAAGGGTTCAGGTAGTCCAGCATGTACATGAAAATGTCTGATTGGAGACTCTCGGGTGTACTCCTAATTGCAATATCTAAGACAACTCTTCAAGGCCAGCGACACATGCTCTGTCGTCTGAGCTTTCAGTAATTACTGAAAAGCTTAGTCCCCCAAATCCAAGACTTAGAAGGCAGGCAAGAAAAAGAATCAGAACAATGAAACACTTCTACACCCTAGAATTATGGGGGTCGGGGTGATGAGGTCCCAGTGCTATCAGGGTGAGGTAGCTCTTGTGGATGTTGTGACCTCCTGGCTGTCCTCTTGAAAAGGTGAGGACATCCATGTGTAGGTGAGCCTTTCCCACCCAGGTTCCATGGAAGAGGAGCCAAGTGAATGCCCCTTACTCCCATCCAGGGCCCCTCTGGGTGTCATCTATCGAACACACAAAAAGTGAGCCATTCAGGAGAATCTTCACCCGGGTGTTGGGACTCCTGCCCAGGACAAGCAGGGGAGGGAGGATCTAGGCCACAGTTGGCTGAGTTCCACTTCACTGCCGAGCCCAGCGTAACAGAACACAGAGGGGATGGGAGTGAGATTTCGTGCTGTGTATGTTTATCAGCCCGCTTCCAATTTTGTGTCTGAAATCAAACAGCCAAGGATCTGCATGCTTTGAATTTTAATCTGTCCCTTAAGGGCAGTCACAGGTTATGAATACAGAGAACTAGCTCCAGGCATGGTGAGCCAGCTCGGAACACATACTTATCCCTGGTGCTCCTTTCCGCCATCAGCCTCAGCAGAACGGTCCTGCTGGTCTTATCTTAGCCAAAATTCTTGTGCCAAAAAAATAGGAGCATTTTTATTTCCATCCAATAAGACCATCTGACAGAGATCTGGAGGCCACAGGGGACCAAATGAAGTCTCATTTTCTCTCTTAAACACTCATCTACTCTGACATCTCAGACCCCGGGTGATGGTGAGGCAAGGTATCTGTTTATCGCTGGAGCTCAGCCACCATGAAAATGAATCTTAATTTAAAAAAAAAAAAAAAACATCTCCGTGGTGTCAAAAAGACACCAAACACTCATTCTATGGTGCCTCAAAATTGCAATGGAAGTCAAAAATGATCATCAAAAAATAAATAAAATACTAGAACCCTGCAAGTGGCCATTGGTTTTCAATATTTCTAATCATACATTCTTTCTTCTTCACCCCATGTTGCTCATACTCCGCACTCTGGCAATCTATGCGCTGTCCACCCATGCGAGGGGCTGAGTTCTTTCTACCTGACAAGGATTAAAGGATGCATCTCATCAGCAGGAAATGATGGTACAAGAAGTAGCTCCACAACCTTTCTATAAATCAGAGTAGCCGATGCCCAAGTTGGACTTGAGATTTGACGCTCAGCCGAGTCTAAGTGTACATATTTTGACAAGTACGGAATGAATGGCTGATGAGGATTTAATCCTGTTTAACTTGCAGATACGAAGAAAAATAAATTGAGGTAACTTTTTTGAGGTAACCTGGTTTGATTCTGCAGAATCCATTGTCAAAGCAACCACCTTCGCACATCTCTGGCACTATTAGGGATGTCCCTGTGTGTCCATCAGAAGCTTCATGTTCAAAAGCATAAAAATGCATCCTGTGTTGTTGTTGTTGTTGTTGTTGTTGTTGTTGTTGTTGTTGTTGTTGTTCTTCTTCTTCTTCTTCTTCTTCTTCTTCTTCTTCTTCTTCTTCTTCTTCTTCTTCTTCTTCTTCTT